CTGCCAAGTTGTCAAACATCTTGAACCCCTTTTCCCTTTTGCTCCTCGGGGCTGAGCTTGCCACTTGTACATCGCTGATTGTAATCTTTGGTAGGTCTTGGAGACATCGTGTATAAAACAGTGCCATCATTCATATCTTCCCTCACTTCATATCTCGGAACCGGAAGTGAACACTCAAGAAAGCGATAGGTCTTGGAGACATTGTGTATGAAACAGTGCCATCATTCATATCTTCCCTCACTTCATATCTCGGAGCCGGAAGTGAACACTCAAGAAAGCGGAAATAGAAAAACGGCAACCCGGGCAACTAGTCAATTGCTTCTTTCTGTTCCCCGGTCCCGTTTAAAGACTAAGGGTGACCGAGCTTCTGCAGTTGTGGCTACTAAACAGTGGAATGCACTTCCAGTTGCCGTAAGATCCTCTCCCACGTTGGACACTTTTAAATTTAGATTGAAGACTCATTTATTCTCTTTAGCCTATGGTGTTGCCTGAGAATATTGGGGTTATAAAGTTGTTTACGGTTTATCTTGCATGCTTTTATTTGTATCTTATTAGTTTTCATCTATTTGTTGTTGCTTTTTGATATTGTTTAATTATGTTTATAATTTGTACAGCACTTTGGTACAATGCTTGTTGTTTTTAAATGTGCTTTACAAATAAACACGAACTTGATCTCAGATCTCAAATACATAAAATATTAGAAGTAAAGAGTAAAGAAAATACTACACAAAACTTATTGAAACAACCAGTTCTTTATTTACCCTTGTAAGATCACAAGTACGCTTGTAAGCAAATCTCATTGGTGACCCATTTTGATCTCAAAAAAGTGAGTTGTCACTGAAAGGTGAGGAGTTTGCATCTGATTATAGCTGTTGTGGCACATCTGATGTAAGGCCTTAACACATTATTTAAAGCTATTACTTCTATATTTTCTCTTTCTTGATACATCTTGCCAAGACATCTCTTTGCCATTTCATCTGTACTTTCATGACTCTTCATGAAATTATGAAATGACTTATTCTTGATGCAAGGAGGCGCGAACAATAAAAACGAACAATGAAAGTTGAATATTTGTTGCAGCAAACACAAAAAGTAAAAGTCGAAACGAATGAGACATCGGATGAATCGAATGAAACGGCTCGTTTGGACTACAGCGTTTGTTTTCCGGGCTTTGTGATATCACAAAGCGGCTTATTGGAATATCATTACAAATAATTCCCGCCTACAGTAATGTGAATGGTTGGGGGGTGGAGAGGGGCGAGGTTGTGGTTAGAAGCTTGGTTGAGTGAGCGCATGAGACGAGACGACGAAGAAGAAGTGCTGCTGCAGAGTTAGTGCGTCAGAGAAAACCATGAAGAGCAGCTGCTGTGCTGTAGCGTCAGATTTTCGGCATGTCTAGAACAGCGGTTCTCATTTCTAGTCCTCGCGTACCCCCGCTCTGCACATTTTGTGTGTTTCTCTTATTTCTTCATACGTTTGTTATATTTGACTGTAAGTGCCCTGCGAAGTGGACATTACCGGATATTCCTCCATGATTCCAGTTTGAAGCGAGCGTATATGTTCCATACAAAGGGCATTTAAGTGTGCGAGACGTGAATTTAAATTATATTTATTTACAGAGGTATATTATGTCCCACTTCACACACAAACAAAACTTACTAGAGACGCGTGAAGACGCTGCAGGCAGCGGCGCAGCGCAAATCTGTAAATAAGTAAACTTCAACGGATTTCCCCTGCTCAGGGAGTAGGGAGCAATGCACACTGTGTAGGGAGCATGTCAATCAAAACACAGTTCATGCACGGAGCTCACTTCTAACGAGATGATC